CCCCCCCCCCCCCCCGTCTCTTTTATAGCCCGAGAAACTAGGGAGGGTCCCTTTTGAGCCTCTTGCCCCACTCACTTTCCGGCTGCAGGCTATGCTGTCTCTTATCTGACCATTCCCTAGGCAGCATTTCTTCACTCCACCCTGAGGACTTTCCCACATACCATTACAACTATTTACCTTGGACCACAAAAGGCACAAAGTCAATATACAGTTAGTCCTTGTTTAGTGACTGACTTGTTTAGAGACTGTTTGCAGTTACAACAGTGATGAAAAAGTAACTTTGTGACACGACCTTTGCAGGTCTATAAAGCAAAGGAAAGCTGAAGCAAGATCATAAAATTGTGATGTTTCACAACCGCTTCACTTAATGACCAAGTTGCCAGTCCCAAGTGTGGTTGCTAAACAAGGACAACCTGAAGGAGATTTTCAGTTGAGCTGTTCTGAATTGGGGTTCATTTGTTTGCAGAGTATTTTATATTGAAAAATGATGTACAGTAAATATAATAGTAGGTTCCAGACTAGCAATTTTTATTGAAATGGAAACTTAAAATGGAGATTCCGGATGGGTCTAGAATAAATAGATGTTCTTGCATTCTGCAACTGATTTTATTCTTTCATAGAACATGCAGATGGTTTGTGCCACCGTCTCACCAATGTTTGCCCAACAAGCAAGCCTCAGACACAGGGCTTGGCAAAAGATGCTTGGGAAATCCCCCGGGAATCATTGCGGCTAGAGGTCAAACTTGGACAAGGCTGCTTTGGAGAAGTATGGATGGGTAAGAATTTCCTGCAAGAGACATGAACATTTTATCTGATGAACAGTGCATTTCTGAAAATGTTTTTTCAGGCATGGAAAAGCAGTAGAGCAAGCTTCTCCCTTTTGGCTATCTTATGACTACAGAAGTTATCTTTGATTTGCTAAGTAATCAGCTGCATTGTTTTATGACTGGCTATAGCAAAAGGAGTAAGATCAGTTATAATAGCTCTTTTAGTAGCATGATATCAGCTTGTGGACTTGAACCCAAAGAATGTGGGATGTTGTACTGACTATGCATTACTATTGTTTTCTATTTCATTATTCAATTGTTGTTTTAATCCTAACATGTAATTTGCTTAGAGTTACTTCAGTAATTGAGGTGGCATGCAAATCAATCAATCAGTAATCAATAAACAAACAATTATTCAAAAACATAATTACCAAGTATAAAAATTTTTGAGAAGTTTCCAAAGTTAATGCTTTGAGCAGACTTACTGAAATCAATGGAAATGAAGATAATAGCAATGATAGTGGGACCAAACCCCACATCTCAAATAGATATTGGCCATCTACTGAATACTAAATACCTTTCAATTTGCACAGGGAATTAATATTATGAATGTTCTCAGGATACATAAAATCTAGTTACAAAATAGTTCACTATGGATGAGTTGGGCATTCTGGGAATTTTGAAAGCCATAGTATAAGATATCTGGGAAGTCTGATCCAAGAGGATCTCTTCACTTTATTTCTGAATTAGAAATGGTTGAACTATTTGATACCTGGTTGGAGGATTGCTTTTGCAATTTCCATGTATATCATGGAACTCCATGTGGAATTAGAACCCCATGTGGAGTTCTGACTCCTTAGGAGAGGGACACAAAATTTAAAATTAGCCTGACATTCATTTCTGATTGTTACATTTTGACTCTAGTTCCTTCTGAAATGGTAAATTTATAAGAGGACAATATGGAAGTTTTGGAAGGGAAACATTTGTGCATCAAATTCACAAGGATTGTTGCTTTTGACAATAATTGTATTCTGCATCGATTCTTTATCCGTACTTGGATATTCAAATTGTATAAAATGGTGAATGTAGTATCAGCATACCCCAAATCGGGTAGCTTACGTGTTTTAATATCTGAAGATATTGATACCTGATTAACTAGGCTTGGTACAAGTCATGCTAATTCTGCTTCTTCTCCAGGGACCTGGAACGGCACCACCAGGGTAGCAATCAAGACTCTAAAGCCTGGGACAATGTCTCCAGAAGCATTTCTACAGGAGGCCCAGGTCATGAAGAAACTGCGCCATGAAAAGCTGGTGCAGCTGTATGCTGTAGTTTCAGAAGAGCCTATTTACATCGTAACAGAGTACATGTGCAAAGGTGCTTACATGTGCTACTATCTGTGCTTGTTATTTCTGTATATGCTTCGTTCTCCTTCAAATCGAAATAGGCAAAATTAAAAAGGGAGAAATCTGAAACTGGAAGGAAAATATGCCTTCTCCTGGCTATGTTAATAATTTCTGTGTTACTGGATACATTAGCATGTGAAACATGAGCTTGACTGTTAAGAATCCATTTATACAACTAAATAGGTAGTGTTGTAACTCTGGGCTGAATGAATTCATACAGTGTTAGCAAGTGCTGAAGAGACTGCGTGATTGCTTGGCACACAGGCAGTTCACAATTCAATACTTGCTTACCATGTCACAATAAAACTTGAGGAGTGGAAAATTACACCCCAATTTACATTTGCCGGTGGGTGATAATAACGAAGGGCTTTAGGAACCTTAATGGCTTTGTGCGGTGTTCAAAACAACTGGGAGATTGAGTTAAAAGGCTTTGTTCATTCTACAACATCTGCAGAATAAGAAGATTTGAAATAGTTAAGGTTTTCCCCTACTTGAATTCCTGACACCTGTCTGTTCTACTGTTAGGGAGCCTCCTGGATTTTTTGAAGGGAGAGATGGGCAAGTATCTGAGACTGCCCCAGCTGGTGGACATGGCTGCACAGGTGAGCATAAAAGGCTTTGCATATGCTGCAGATGGCCTAATGCCTCTTTTTTATGTCTGTATCACTACTTAGAATTTGGGTGGTAGGTTCTGAGCTGTTATAGAAAACACCTTCCTACAGACAGATTATTCTACCATTTTAGGAAAGATTCCTAACATATTATCCTGGACATTTACATGTTCTTTCTTATCTGGATATGGGAATGAGGAGCTCATCCAGAAATATGTGAATGAAAATATTCAACACTCTGTTTGGAATCACCATATTTGAGACACCCCTTCTTCTTGTGGACACCTGCCTGAATATTAAGATCTACTGGGAGCAAGGGTTTTTCTTTGTCTCCTACCATGAGAAACAATACATTATGTGGAGACTCCAAAAAAAAAAAAACCCCGAGAGAGAGCCTTTTCTGATCAAATACCTCCACCACTACCCCCAGTCAGACTGACACCAACATATGTTTGTGTATCAAGGGAAAAATTATTATTTACCCAAGCATTTGGATCTCAGTGATAGGAGTTTTAATACATTGGATTTATTGGGGTTTTGTTGTTATTTTGTCTAGTTTTAACTGATTGCATCATATCTGAGATTTATTTATATAAAGTAAAATATAACCATTTTAATAAATACATTCACATCTGAACATTTTTCTACCTGTAATTTGAAGTGAGTCAGGCCAGGGGAAAATACGTATTGGCTGCATTTAAATAACACTCTTAACCTGTTTATTGAATTAATCCATTTTCTAATTTTGCACAATACATTGAATTACAAACTAAGCAAATAGCCTGGGCTTGCAAATCAGGCGAAATCACAAAAAAAAAAAAGAAAAAAAAAGGAACAGTAATCAAGCTTTGTTTGTTCTGCAAATGTAGTTACCCGATTTTTAACTGACCTCGTTAAGTATCTTTTGTGAACACTCATGACATTTGGAGTCCTTCCAAGTAAACTATTTGCTTTTCAGTAGAGGCCTCGGTCACTTTCTTAAAAGATGGTGGTCAGCCTCATCATTAACAATCATGCAGTTTGAGTCCTCTGCTGATATTTTAAGACCACCATCATGCAAGACTTCACTATACAAATGATTGTAACCCAGAATCTCCCTTGATATGAACTGAATAAGGCTTGCTGATTTGACTGATGCTTTAATGAGTAGAATCTGACAGAACACAATTATTGTTCAAACTACCTCAGACTTTAATTTGAATTTGGAATGATGTTAGATTGCCTCTGGCATGGCCTACGTGGAAAGGATGAACTACGTTCACAGAGATCTCCGAGCTGCCAACATCCTTGTGGGGGAGAATCTGGTGTGCAAAGTAGCTGACTTTGGATTGGCACGACTGATTGAGGACAATGAATACACAGCAAGACAAGGTATGATCTCCCTTTAACTTGCTTAGGTAAAAAATACCATCTGCAAAAGAGTTGCTGCTTCAGAGAGGAAGAAAACAGTATTAGTAAGAAGTAGGCATCCTCTCACTCAGCAGATACTAGTGAAAGTTCATTTGCCAACAAGATACATAGTTAGGTGTGTTTCAAATTATTATGGTATTGCTTATAGCTGATGAATGATAAAAAAAAAGTAGTTGGTAGACATGGCAGCACATGTGAATGTAATTCACCTCCATTAGCCCCCTCTTGTGATCTCTAGAGAAGAAAACCTGAATGAGAGTTTTCAGACATTTTATTTACATTCCTGTTTCCTTGCTCAGGTGCTAAATTTCCCATCAAGTGGACTGCTCCAGAAGCTGCTCTGTATGGTCGGTTCACTATCAAGTCAGATGTCTGGTCCTTTGGAATACTGCTGACTGAACTTGCCACCAAAGGTCGAGTGCCATATCCTGGTAAGTGTGTGTTCACTTTTGATATAAGTGCCAAGAGCTTCAAAAGCACCTGTAGGGAACTCTTTCATTCTGCTGTGAGTTCCTGTATAAAAGGTGGGATAAAAATCTAACAAAGGAATACAATCTGAAGAAAACCAAATAATTCATGAAAGAGGACACTGGAGTGTGGTTGGCCATACTTAGCTCTTGGCTCAGACTACCTTTCTTTCCCCTTGGCCTTGCCCTACTAACCATAAGCAATGGATTCTACTCCATGTGAAAACAGGCAGCAACAACTAAAGCCTCATCTCTCCAGGCCTTCAGCTTAGGAAGGGTTATGACCAGGCCAAAGCACTTTTCAGACAGCATGTAATAGACATAGAGTGCCAGTCTGACCTAGCTAGGGCCTGAAAATCCTTGTCAATGAATCCATCAGGTACTCTGCCTTCCCTATGGCATACCTAACCGAGCTGGAAGTCTCTGAACCCAAACGGGCTTTTTGGCAGTGTTGACCTTCAGGGCTTTCGTTCTGGCATGATGTCATGGCCTCCCCTCAGCCATTCTTGAAGGTCAGTACAGGAAGATTCCGAGCTTGGCTTCCAGTCTTACTAAGCGTAAGCTTAGATGAAGTTCCACAGTACACTGTCTGCAAGCCCTCCCTTGCCTCCTCCAGACTGTGATACTGATACCACCATTGTCTTACCAGTGATCTAAAAATTTTACATGATCTAAAAAGAGGCTCTGGTTAAAGCTCTGGTTAATTCAGTTTGGTTGGACAATTTCTTGAGCTTGTTAAGATATGGCACAGCTTCCTTGATCCTAAGGCCTAAGTATATACATGAGCCAGAAGCTGTATCATGGCACTTTTCTGGAACCTTTAAAATCCTCTTGGAAGCTTTTACCACAGCTCTGATTTATAAGCTGCATCCGGGGCTTGAGAGAGAAAAACTCTGCATGTCTGGGTTTGTTCTAAAGAGAAATATAGCAGAATCAATTAGAAAGGTTAAATGTAATACCTTATTCTGTATTGACCAAAATGCTAAGATGTTGCTAACTTTATATATTTTTAAAGCATTTGCCAATAGGATATTATATAGTCTCACTTCATATCCCCCCTCTTTTTTTAATGAGATTTTTATTTTTGTCTTGGGTAACTTTTCAGTGTGCTGTTGTTGTTGGCATTTGACAAATTCCCCTTCATGCAACAAGCCAATGTTGACAGAAACATAAAATTCACAATTCAAAGTTTGCCCTGTCACCCACCTACAGACTTCACAGTTCCCTGCCTGCACATATCCTTTAGTCTCTCAAATGAACGAAATTGTAGATTTTGGATCCTTGCAGAATTCTTTTAGAATGAAAAAGACTTAAGGAGGGAAGCAGAATTCAGCACAGTCTGTGGATAGCTTATGAAAGGGGATGAGGATGATTACTGCTGCTGCTGTTTGATACCCAGTGTGGTCTCCTAAACTAGAAGGCGTCATTAGTTGGTGACTCACAGAAAAAAAATTTCCCCTAGACTTTGAATGCAGAGAAGAACTTTGCCTTGCTTCAAAGCCTACTTCAGAAGTTACTATCGTGCCACAGTAACCTCTGAGGAAAGCTCTTCTTTCTTCCTCATGGATCATTTCTATACCATTGAAATAATTCTGTTGCTATCCTGACCATATGGATGGCTGAAATCATAGCACTGTTTCTCATGCTGACAGAGGAAAACAATGCAGGAGGAAGCAACGTTGGGACCCAGGCTATCCGTGTATCCATAGGTTACAAATGCAGAGGGAGAATTCCTTTTCTTCTTAAAGTTTTCACCTTCAGCAAGTTTCCCATTTTGTATTTGCTGGCAGTATAAAAATTATCTGAAAAATAAGGGTAGCAGCAAGGATGAGGATGGAGGGACTATTTAAATTGATCAATTGCAAGTCAAATGGAACTAAGACTGAAAGAACTCGAAATATTTAACCTTGTGGGGAAATATAATCTCACTCTTCAAAAAGTGCTAAAACTGAAGAAGGTTAAGGCATGTTCTCTACCATCTCAGAGTGCAGGAAACAGAATCATGGTCTTAAATTACAGGGACATATTCCTGTTGTGTATTAGGAAGACAAGCTTTGTGACAGATCACCAGTGGGGCATGGAACCAAATACCCTGACAGGTAGTAGTCTCCTTTTTACTGGATCTGCTCAAGCAGAGGGTGGATAGTCATCCATTCTGGATGTGTGTGTTGGTACGGAGCAGAGAATTAGACACAATGGCCTTGCTGTCCCTTCCAACTCTATGATTATATGCTGAGTTAAAAAGAATCATAGAAATGTAGTGTTGGAAGGGGGCATTTAGGCAATCGAGACCAAAGCCCTGTGTAGTGTAGGGCTTTAATACAAATTAAAGCATACCTGCCCCTTCATGGATCACTGCCTTGTCGTGGCGAAGGGGCTTGCGTAACTCAGTGAAGC